TAGCAATGGGGAAGACAAGTGCGTGTTTTTGTGCATGTACGCAAGGTTGGCGTTGATGGGATCGCTCGAGCCTGGGCGATCCACTGAAGGGAGAGGGACCTTCAACTTTTCAGGGATAAATGGGAGAGGTGGAAGAGCGGAGCTTTGATTTATTCGGCGGTCCGGAGGGCTTTGCTAGACACGCAGCCCTTACGGAGCTTCTGGAATCGCGGCGGGGCTGCTCAAAGGGATTGCGGGGAAAAGGTGGCTGGGAAGGTGCGTGACCAGAGAGTGAAGGTAGGGATGGAGGACGAATTTCTGCGTCCAGACTCCATGTATTGCCTGGTTCCTTTCACTGCTGTGAGCGCGGAGAGAGTCAGTCCCAGACGCTTGTTTTCAGCTGGGCTTCTTCTGCAACTCCTATGGGCCTCGTGCCAAGTGTCTGGGCTACACGCGTTTTATCCAAATAGATTTAGCGCTGCTGTCTGGAAATGGGCTGCTGAATGTTAACTTTAGGATCAGCTCCATTAGAACAGCTCCAGACTCTTCCCTCCGATTGGGGGGGGAGGAGGAGGAGGAGGGGAGGCGGGGAGGCAGGCTTTTGTTCTTTCTACTTCTCTTGAAGGGGGAGATGTGTTCTTCTGTACGACGTAGGATTGTGTGTGTGTGTGTGTGTGTGAGGGGGAGGACTTTTTAAAAAGTTTTGTCTGGACTTCCAGCAGTAAAAATGACAGCCGATCCCTTTGAGACTTAAGAGGGGGAGAAAAGGAGGGCGGCGCAAAGTTATACGAATCAGTTCAGTTTTGCCCTCTCCCCACTACCCTCCTCCACCACCCAGGTGGCAGTTGAACAGCAGGCACCTCTTTCTTCTCGGATCTGCAGTCGTCCCCCGGCTGACTTGAGAGTAACCCTATCGGATTCAGTGAAATTTGCCTCCGAGAGGATAGGCAGGCAGCAGTCTTTTCCTTTCGCCTTTTCTCTTCCCAAATTATACACAATTGAAAGCCGAAGCGAATAAGTCTCCGCGTCCACATTTTTATCGGTTTTGTTTTTTTTTAAATCTCCCGTCCTCTTGAGCGTAGAAATTCCCGGCTGCGGAGCCCGAAACAGACGAGCTGTGGCGGCGCCAAGCGGTTACCTGGGATCGCTTTGGGAGCGATTATCCCAGGTCCCCCCCCCCTCCACAGCCCCCGGGTATCGCCTTAGAAACCTCCGGCTCCCCGGCTGGCCGCTTCTCGCAGCCCTCCCCGTCCAGAGGCAGCTTTCTCCCGAGTTCCGCTCCATGCCAGCAGACTCTGCGATTCGCCTGCGAGCCAAGCAAGGGGGATGGGCCGGCATTGCCTCTCGCGTCCTCCCCGTAGGGAACCGGAGCGCCCGCCAAGGAATATAGGCGCCTCTTGCCAAGGGCGTCGCTGCCAGACACCAGCCGGGTATATGCGCTAACCTGAAGGCCGCGCGGCGGAGCTCGAGGGAAGCGCTGGCCAGGAGAAGCGGCGAGGGGCCCCGTGTCCAGCGCGTAACTGGCTGGCGAGGCCGTGACCTTCCCTCTTGCTCTGGTCTTACGCGCAGCGCGGCATCCGGCCAGTCTCTCCCTGCTCCTCCTCCCCTGCCCCGCCCGGAACCAGACCTGGCGCGACTAAATGCCCGGCGGTAACCGGGCTGCAGGTGGGACAGGGGAAGGCGAGCAGCACCCGGGAGGGCGTCGCGCGGGGAGAAAGGACGAGGCTGGAGAAGGAGGACCATTGAAAAAAAGGCGCCTGCCGCAGCCGGCGGAAAGCCGCTAGCTTCAGATCCGCTGCTGCAGCCGCTGCCTTTGGAGGCGGTCCCGGGGCCGGCGGTGATGACAGACGAGCTGCGGGCGCGGAACGGTGGCCAAGGCTCCGAGGGGACGAAGAAAGGATGCAGTCTGAAGGAGAGAGACCGGGGCGACGGCGGCGGCGGCGCAGCTGCTACCTGTTGACTTAAAGAAGCCAGGAAGAGCTTCGCTTGGAGCGTGGCGTAGGTTAGGCGCTCCTGCTCTGTAACTGGACGCACATACCCAAAGAGAGGGTGGCAGGAATGCCACTGCCCATGCACAGAGTTGCTTTTTCCTCTCCCTTCCACTCTCCAGTTGAAGATTAACTATGGTGTCCTTGGGGCTATGAGCTGTATTGCTTACTTGCAGAGTTTTTGTTACCCAACTAGGGAACATAATCTGTGCAAGTTAGTGTGGGATTAGTTCCCCGTATTTATATAATACATTTTGCCCACTAGTTGACCCTGAGCTATATATTTTTTCTTCTACTAGTAGTTCTCAACATGACCTGTCCATTGATGACCATTCAAAGTTAGGGTGGCTTGGAAAGGGTGCTTAATCTTGTGTACAGCACTTCTAGCCATCATAAAATCTCTCTCTCTCTCTCTCTCTCTCTCTCTCTCTCTCACACACACACACACACACACACACACACTTGTGATCTGGATGTTTGGCAACCTGTTCACTCTTACAATTGGTTGCCAAGCATGCTAGCATCACATGACTTCCATTTGCAATTTTCTCTGTTGGCCTTCCCAGAAAGTCTGTGGGGAAGTTGGCAGGGAAGGTTGCAAGCTGCCGCTGCGTGCAGAAAGATTTCCCCTCCCCTCAAAATATGAGGGCGGGGCAGAAATCCTTCATTGGGATGCAGAAATGAAGCAGGGATCTTTGTGATTCCCACTTAGCTTCTCCAGCCCGGTTCAGGAGTTGCCTTCTGCACATGGAGGGGAGAGGTGGAGAGGTGCTTGTGCAATGAGCTGGAGAAATAAAACAGAGATCTTCTGCTTTGTTTCTCCAGCCCCAATGCACAGAGGGGAGAGAAACTTTTTCAAAGAGCTGCAGAAATGCAGATCAGATCCAAAAGATTTCTGCAGCCCCTTGAAGGAATTTCCCTCCATGCATGTTGAAGAAAAGAACTCCTCTGAAGGGCTGCAGAAACAAAGCTTGGATCCTGAAGACCCCGGTTTGTTTCTCCAGCCCAGTGCAAGAATTCTCTTCCATGCATGAAGAGGAGCTGCCTGCCTCCTTTGTACTGTCTGCTTAATGGCCCATGCAGTTGCTTAAGAGCTACAGCTAGGAGAGCCAGGGTTGTATTTGTTAAATGAAACAATCATGTCGGTGTTTCACTCAACTGCCAAGATTTTGGTTCCAGTTGTCATAAATCAAGGATTACTTTTACAGAAGATAGAGGTAGAAACTTAAAATCACTATTATGGTATTTTTGGAACAAGATAAATACCCTTCCAAGCCTTTAGCAAGCTTTCTGAACTTTCATTCATCAGAATGAAACACCTTTAGGAAAAAGAGAAAAAATGGGAAAAGACCCTAAGTCCTGTAGCAATTCATCAGTGGCATATAGGCAGACCCATATGTGGTTGGATTTATCTCACTGGCTGTGGGACAAGATGCAAACGAAAATATTGTATACCAATGGCTGAAAATATGATACTACTCATTCCTGTCTGCTGCCATTTCCAAGTGGATGTCATGGCTGGTAGGTTGCTTTGGCTTTGGCACCTCTCTGTTTCAAAAATAAGCACTGAGCCAGCCAACTAAGGCTTCCCTGCAAAGAGCCCTACAGTCCTTACTCCAGCCTCTGCTATGGCAAGCTTTCTAAAATAACTATTCACTGCAGAAGGAAACTGAGGTGAATGTCAATGTAACTATATCACACCCTCCCTACTGCTAATATATTTATAGCATTTTAATTGTAGCATATTGAAGGAGAAAAAAGGAAGGCTTGTGCAAGTCAGAAAAAGGCTGCTAAGCTAATCACCTGCACCTTCATGGAATTTCTTTGTGCATTATTTATTGCCTCTTTTCTTCCTATTCCAGAGAGCCTTTTTCCATTAGGCATAACATTAATCCAGGTGCATGCAGCTCTTTTTTTAAAAAAACAAAAAAACAAAAACCCATCTAAACCAAAACCATAATGGACAGCTAAGATCATTAGTCCATAGAATGCTCCACATGATTCTTAAAACATAAAATTTGTTTTCAGATTATGTTTTTTGCCTTAGAACTAAGTGTTGGCTTAGTAGTAGAAGCAGCACTTGAGAGTCCTTTGATCAGCATGATGATAGTGCAAAGAACTTGAATGAGTGAGGACGGAGGTTGCTTTCATCTAATACAATGGTTCTCAACCTTTCTAATGCCGCGACCCCATAATACAGTTCCCCATGTTGTGGTGACCCCGAACCACTTATACATCACCGGGTGCCAGGGGCGTGGCCAAAGAAAAGGGGGAAAAATGGCGGACAGCCTTGTTTGGCGACCCCCGTGAAATGGTCGTTCGACCCCAAATGGGGTCCCGACCCACAGGTTGAGAACCACTGATCTAATACCTCCTTAGCTTGTACTTTGTAGAAATGGTCATTAAAATATTTTTTGCCTTTTAAAGCCAGTTTCACAGATACCTCAAGAGAATGACAAATGGGACATGTCTTGTCTTGTATTTACATATATATCAGGCATATTGCCTTTGATAATCTACTTAATACGCTCCAACCCATGCTTGAATATGAATAATTTAGAATAAACATAGTGTGTGACAGACAATGTTTTCTAGACTGGTTTCTTTTCTAAAGAGAAACAAACTGCAAAGAACAGCAGTTTTCCTTGTGGCATTAAAACGTGTGAGAAATTCAACTAAGCCCAAACAACTGCAAATTTGATTTGGGCAAAACTATGGCATGCAAAATAATAACCTTTATATATACATATATATTATAGTGACACATTAGATGTATTCGGTATATATTTTGAGTCAAGTAATCATGGTCTTAACCCAGAGAAAGTTAGTCACAACTCTCACTCTGTTTTGAAATTAATGCAAAATTGAAACAATTTTGCAACATGAACTCGATGTAGCAGATTTTAATTTAGGAAATAATTTAGACATATCAGGTTGAATTAAAAACAAGTGCTGCAAGTATAAATCTATAGACTTGGGGGAGAAATATCTGAAATGTACACTACATTAGAGAGGATTCAGAGATAGCTTGAATGGGTTTGCGGGTTTTTTTATACAGGATTTGTCTATTTAAAATTGTTTTCAGACAGAAATATCATTTTTAACTTCAACTTGTTCATAATGTCAGTTGACCACTGATATTTATTACTTCTGAATGTAGTTAGATCCAAGTCTTTTAAGGTAACAAACATTGGCTAAGATGTTGCAACATCTGTCTTGGGATCAGTGGTAATTTGCAGTCACACGCACACCTCAGATGTCTGGCAGAATTGGCACTTACCCAGAGTCTATTTTAGTCTATAGGCTTCTATATGATCAAGATTTTCCAGAAGTCTTTTTATGCTCCATCAGAGGGTTTTGTTTTTTTAGTAAGAGTTAAATCCATGAAATTCTGAAAATTTCTAGAATATTAATGTCATCTACTTCTTTCTCAAACAACCTCAGAAACCTTTATGTGTTTGAAATGCATTGGCTCTTTTCTTTCTATTTTTCCAGTTTGGAAGGGCAGGGAAATTGAGGAAATGAACTAGATTTATATCTAAAGCTGGAATGTCAATATACAGTTTGAACTTAAGATTCATGATGGTTGCTGAGTACAAATTAGTTAGAAGTAATCTAGACTGGTCATAATAGGCTGAACCAACTAATTTTTCATTTTGTGGCTCATTGTGCAATTTTGTGGAAAAAAAAACAGGTAATGATTCATATTAATGTCCACAACAAAAAACTATCTTTGGTGGATCCCCATGATTTGTAGATGGCTATAAAAGAAAATTTCAGCCATACATTGAATCACATGGAATCTTCTGCTTGTTTCTGCATGCATATGTCAAAAAGTTAATCTCTTTACTGCCAACAGACAATGGAAGGTATGAGGTGAAAGATATGGACTTCCAACACTGGAAGAGATGATCAGTTGAATATGGCATGAAAAGGGTGGCATGTGGACTAACCTGTGAACAGCATGCGGTCCTTCCACATTCTTAGATCTCCCTGCTCTCCAGATCCAAGTTCTTGTGTTTGATAGTTGCCTCTAGATCCCTGACTTCACAGAACCTATCAACTTTCTTCACAATAACTATGGACATTTTTGCAAGTTTGTGAGTATCTAATTATTTTTTAGATAAAATCATCAGCTTTTTCAGGGATCAAAAAAAGACTCCTTCGTGGACTCCAGTTATGCCAATATCCCTTGTGTCCTCTTCTTGTTTTCTTCAGCAGAAACATCATACTTTGTAAAAAGATGATCTATGATTATGGATAGCACCACATTTTATTTTCCCAGACTCTTTTGTCTCGTCTCCTAGATCCCTCTTTTTCTCTAAAATGCAGATCCACTGCTACATCTTAAACAAAGCACATATGTATATGCCATAGATTGTGGACTGGATTACTTTCAACTGCTTTCATAAGCAGCTGACTTCCAAGTGGGTGAGCCCTCATCTAATGGCTCCTGCAGCAAGGCCTTGCCCATGTCTTCATAGTCCAATCATGCAATCCATTCTCTAGTGATTCTCAAACAGGAGTCTCAGGACTCAGGAGTCCTTTACATTCTTAAAAATAATAGAAGATCTCAAAGAACTTTGGTGGGTTATATGTGCCAGTATGTACTGTATTAGAAATTAAAATTGTGAAATATTAAAATTTATTATCTGTTTGAGTTTGTGGACTACACTTTGAGAAATGCTGCTCTAGGAGACATTTGCAGTGCAATTTTCCATTCCCTTTCCTCTTTGATATGAATGCACCTTTGGTGCTCTGTGTGAATGTGTAATAGTTGTGGACTGCTCTTAAGTAGAAGGACTCTCAAGATGTAACTCCTCTTTAATAGGAAGTCTTGATTAAATTCTGGTCTCTGGAATTTAGCTGTTCCACCTATTCATATGCTGCTGGCAGTAGTGGCTTCCAGATCATTGGCTAGAAATACATGGATATCTGGGGGGGGGGGGTTGTGGTTCTCCAGAATGTGACTGCTAGTGCTGGAGAGGGGCTGTTGGCATCTTTATTGCTGGTGTGGGGTAGTAGAAGGTTTCTATAGTGTCCATAGAACAAAAGACTATCTGTGGCTCTTGTTCTATTGCCAGGGTAGTATTTTTCAGTCAGATTTGTACTTTAGATTTGTATCTTCCTGTTCTTCAAAAATGTGGCTATAGGTTTGATACAAACCTGTGTCTTTTGTTATTTATTGTGACCTACCTGGATTTTATTTTATTTTTTTAAGATTTTCACTTTCTCTGTTCAGAGATGTGATGACGGTCCTCTTTTTTCACTTTCTCTGTTATCTAGATTATGATGACATCTTTGTGGAGTTTGGGTTTTTCTTCTACATTTCTTCACAGGTGAGGAGTTTGATAAGATAGAGAGTGTATGAACTGTCCCATGGTTTTTCTCTGACCTGTTTATGTTGTGAATAAGAGGCAGTCTTATGTGGACATTGATTCTGGGAAATATGTACAGTACCTTAACCTGACATTTTGTTCTATGAGAATTATGGCGGTTGCAGAGGATGGAGACTCTAATCTGCTGCTTTCTTCCTGTTTCAAACATGGCAGGGACAGTTGTATGAATACAAACCACTTTTTAATGGAGTTTATACTTTGCCCACCCCTTGCTGTCACTTCAGGATCCCCCCTGAAAATGCTGTGAAGTCTTATTGTCTTCACTGGAAACATTTCTGATTTGTCCACATCTATGGGGGAGGGGGGAGCATTGATTAACAGCTGCTGACTATGACACTATTCTCCCATCCCTAGGAGCATTTCTGATTGGTGCAAAATCATGACTGACAAACTGGTTGCCCAATACTTCCCAGAAATGATTCAGATTAGTGCAAAAACATGATTGAAAGACTGAGCACATGGTAGAATAGTACTACCACCCAGAAATGATTCTGATTGGTCAGTAGCCAGTGGGAACCTTATGTAACCCAAAAGAGGGACAATGTTTAAACAAACCAAGAAGTAATCTTATAAAATCATTACTAAAATAAGTGCAGGAAGCCAATGTTTTTTGTTTGTTTGTTTTAATGCTAGAAATTTGGAGCTTGTACCCTTCTTTTCTAATCAACTTACACAGAACTGCCTGCAACTGGATTTTATCATTTGTGGGAGGGGGGGGGGAACTGAAGAAAAGCCTATTTTGCAAAATATGTTTAAGCTTGTCTTTTATCACAATTTTTCTGGTCCAGCAGTAAAGGCAGGAAAGAAATTAACAGAGTGGGGAATCTGACAAAGATCTCACACAAACTTACAATAAGTCAGCAAATACATTTTCAGCCAAAGAATGTATTACAAATAAAATAATAAGACTTATTGGGGGGGGGTTAACATAAAATAAAAAGGCTACGTAACTAATCTACAAGGGTGGGCCATTTGGAGCATTCATGTTTCTGAAATGAACCTCCAGAAGGCAGGTACAGACATGACAAAGCCATGATGCATTCTGCGCAGACATGTTTGTGATAAGCATACTCAGGGCATGTTCGAACTTGTTCTGGGGTTGTCTTTCTGAGCATGTGCTGTTAACAGTAGTGTCTGCAGGTGGATATGAACTTCAACAGTTTAAACCCTGATCTGCATCTGAGAATAATATGGCAGTCTCAGACTCCATTGAAGAGTCTAACAAAAGGGGATGGCAAGACAGAATCTGATGACAATTTGCTTGATGTGAAATTGATTCCTGAGCAGAAATGTGGGGTTGCAGAGATAGGAAAAGAACTAAGTTATATAATATTAATGAGAGTGAGTATAATATGATCATCATTCGCTATCATTGTCAGTTCTGACAGATACCAAATGGTGAATCTGTTTCCATTTTTCCTTCAGAATGTGAGGAAGGTGAACTGTTTGCCAGTTTTTCATAATGGCATCAATATATACCATTGGGAAGGGAACATGGGCCTTCCCCATCATGAGGAACAGAGGACAATGAATTAGAAGGGATAGTATTTAATTCACATGCATGTAGAAAACTAAGGTTACTCCACACAAAGAATGTAAGAAAATCAAGGGTGGGCAGTGCAAGGAGAAATTAGATAGTCTGGAAGGGCATTTATGTTTTCTGAAAATGATATTTTACCCCAAATTAGGCACAAGATATATCATTTATGATTCTGAATGTTGTCAAGAAATTGGAGTGCACATTCTGAAATGTTTATGCCATGGATATTCTGGAGCATGAGATTGTTCTGAAGTGGGGATGTTACAGTAATAATCGTCTGAAAAAATTTGTGAAGACATTTGTCTAACCCAAGTTTAGAGAATATACGTTTATCGCTCGCAATGTCAAGGGTTTGTGATGGATATCTAATCCTCAGGCAACTGATCCATGAAAAGGTTCAGGTTCCACTTTTAACTCAGGCTGGTAAACTGTTATATACAACCTGCCATCATTTAAGATTTGATTTGTTGATAGCCTCTCCTTTTTGCCCCTTAAATTAAGTAAACTACCCAAAGCTATGAGTTTCCTAATTTGTTCAATATAGCAGAGAATCAAGATTATGAGGGGCCGCTGCCTGATGCCAAGTATTGCAGTCCTGAAACCATAATGCCCAGTGAGAGAGAAGAATTTAAGAAATGGAGCGCTGCTAATAGAGCAGTGGTGGGATTCAGCTGGTTTGCACCAGTTTAGCAGAACCAGTAGCTAAATTTGGGTGAGTTCGGAGAACTGGCTGAATGCACATTGCTTCCAGAAGTCCATTCTAGGCCTTGGAGGCCTGGAGGAGGCCTCCCAAGCCTAGAACGGCCTGCCGGAAGTGCATGGATGCCACTTCCAGAAGTCCATTCTGGGCCTCGGGGGCCCAGGCCTGCATCCTATAAGAGAACCGGTTGTTCAGGTATTTGAATCCTACCACTGTAATAGAGGTAGCATGTTTAAGCTGAAAAAAGACCTTGCTTACTTTTGCAGACAAAATGTTAAGATATTGAGAGAGGCCTGTGACTGGTTTAGAGAACAAGTGTTGAAAATGACAGAGTGTGATATTTTCACTGGGAGAGGTGGAGACATTATTGAAGAATCTGCATTGACCCTTTCCAGTATGTTACATCAGCCTCTATTTGCATGACTCAGTACCAATCCATGCTTTTGAAGAACACCATTGCACTAGCCCAGGGCTCTTCAGACTTGGCCCTTTTATGACTTGTGGACTTTAACTCCCAGAATTCCTCAGCCAGCATGCCTGGCTAAGGAATTCTGGGAGTTGAAGTCCACAAGTCATAAAAGGGCCAAGTTTGAAGACTCCTGCACTAACCCTTTGGATAATTACCAGAAGACCCTGGAAAGCTATCCTGTTCCCATTATACCCTGATTGATGTATATAGCACACATGGAGAAACTCAATATTTAGCATACTCTGCAAGGAAGTGAAAAGCAGGTAGGCGTTTACTTTTTGGATGCATTTGCTACCATTAATCCCCACAGCCTTTGAATTTAAATGTTGTTTTTTTTTTATGGTTGTCCTATATGTTACTGTGCCAATGACTACAACAGCTTACTTGATTCAACCTATGGGGCTCTGAATGCATGTAATACAGGGCTTTTCAACCAGTGGTACGGGTACCACCTGTGGTACATTGGCACCTGGCAGGTGGTATGTGACCATCCTAGAAAAGTGGTAGCGGGGGAGGGGAATGAGCTGAACCGGTGGCAGCACCGCACAAGCCTGAGAAGAGGTGGCTGGAGCTGGAGGGTTGTCAGGGCTCAGCAGAAGCGCCAGGATCAGTGCCAGGCTCCAGCTGGAGCTCGGCGCTGATCCTGGCGCTTCTGCTGAGCCCAGAAGCGCCAATCAGCTGGAAAGCAGCATTGATCCTGGCGCTTCTGCTGATCCCAGAAGAAGCGCCGATCAGCTGGAATGTTGCAGCATCTCCAGGGTCTTGTGATTTATATTCAGATGCTTGGCAACTGATTCATATTTATGATGGTCACAGTGTCACAGGGTCACGTGAAGTGACCAAAACCTGCTGCAACCATCCAGCAGACGGGGGGAATAAAAACCAAACACCCCCCACCCCACCCTTGCTGCCAATCCTCAACAGAAATGCTCACAACAATGAAAACCTCGGACAGGAGAAAGACCGCCACCGGGTGGGCAGGCAGGTGTCTT